TATGTTATTCATTTTTCTTACAATTGAAAAAAAAGCTAAACAATTCAGACTTTCTAGGAGGCTGTAGATTTTATAAAAAGTTACCATGACAGGAGACAGCACTTCTCTGGATGTTTCATTTGGAAAATGTGATGGAAATTAAGTTAAAATATTCAATGGACCAAAATAAGGATACATTAATAAGATAAGTAATAATAAAATGAGAACATCCCTGTGGTTCCTCCTGTATGTTTCCAGGATAATTGAGCTGTTCTGCACATCCTCTCTAGATGTGGTTGGTCTTTTCTTTGATGGCTGATCTTTTGAAAAATAAAATTGAATGGTTATTTTTCTTTTTGTAGAGCTTCTATTGGTTTGACAGGCAAACCCAGAAGCTTTAAGAATTAAAATATTTGTGTTGGTTTAATTACTCTTAAATGCCAGAGATTATTAAACTAGACTCAGCAATAATTATTTAATTTGTGAGCAAAAAATGGACCAAAACTGGGACTAAAACAAGGACCAGGTAAAGAGAAAACAAACCATTTGATGTCCACCATGGTATTTATATACATAAATAAGTAGAACAGAGTTGAGTTTTATTGTTATTTTTTAGTGTGAGAAATTAGGAATATGGAGTGAAAGTGTGTGAAGACACTGAGATAGGTGAGTCTCACTCCCAGTGGGTGACAGTTGACAGCCCTGCAATAATGTATTTTAAAATTTTATTTTAAGACAAAAAAAAATCTTATTGGGCTCATCCTTCACAGGCACACTTTTTTATATATAGTTACTAGCTAAATGCTAATAAAAATGACAATCCTGTATTTTAAAATTTCCTTTTAAGATGAAAAAAAATCTTTTTTTTTTCTGTTGCATTTTAAGACGTTTAATTTATTCCTTCCACTGCTTGTACCTAAACAGTATCCATCCATCCATTCTGTCACGCTTCATCCCTGCGGGGGTCAAGAGGGGTGCTGCGCACCAGTAGTGTCGCTCTGATGCCATTTTTTGGCCCCACACTCCGACCTAAGGAGAAGGCAATTAACCTAACAGTCATATTTTTGGACTGTGGGAGGAAGCCGGAGTACCCGGAGAGAACCCACACATGCACGGGAATGTAGAAAGGTCCCAGGCAGGGAATTGAACCTTCTTGCTGCAAGTCAGCAGTGCTTTCCACTGCTTCACTGAGCAATGTTTAAACAATACTATAAATTAATATTGAATAATGTAACAGGTCACACATGTTTCAGCTTGTTGCAATGATAAATTCTGACGTTTTTACCAACAGCCGGAAACCTTCCTTCCCCGTCAGCAGCTAACCTGGCTACACTGCAGTCCTACAGGCCCATTCTGAGCGACTATGGACCTCCATCTCTGGGATTTTCACAGGTAACCTAGTTTTCTGTAACCTGCTCACTAAACTTGATTTATTTAGTAAACTTAATAAATTTCATTCATTACTCCCTAACCCCATAAGTTCCATAGTGGGTTGACGTTGCACAATCAATGCAAAGAAAAAAAGAAGACATTTACAAACACTGCACAACCATAAACAACATCTTTAGTTGATTTGAATGTTTTCTGGACTCTTAGGACATTAGTTAGTTGTTTTTTACTGTTAAAAGCCAAAAGTAATAAATCATATCTCTATATTTTTCATACAGAGAGAAAGGATCGGACTTTAAGTTAAAGAGATCGGTTTAAAATGATTCTTGCTTTATTTGCTTTCATGCAGGGCTCCACCGGCAGCCAAGTGCCTCAGAACAAATATGCCGAGCTGCTGGCCATCATCGAAGAGCTGGGGAAGGAAATCCGGCCCACGTATGCCGGGAGCAAGAGTGCAATGGAGAGACTGAAAAGAGGTGAGGTGGACGGCAGCATTTAAAGGAACCTTTTTCTGTCTTTGCAGCAGTACTTCTGTATCAATATTATGGAGGACCAGCTGAGTCCATTAAAAAGAAATACATTGTACAATGTACATTAGAATCCTTTGTGTAGAAATGCTATTTGAACTGTTTCATAATTGTGCATTTTCAATGAAGTTATTAAAGAGGAATTTTAAATTGTATTAATCATTTAATTATTAAATGCTGTGATTTGATTATGTATTATGAAATTCCACCCATAAATGGAGATAAAAAAAATAAAAAAATTAATAATCTGATTATAAATACCTTTACTGATCAAATATTTAAAAAGTGAATTATTTTTTCCTTTTCCTGTTTTACTTTATCCCCCCCGCCCCACCCCCACTTAGTAGTTCAAATAATCAACAATAGCTTTTAACAGTTCAGTTTATCCTACTAAAGTTTAAGAATAGTGCTATCTACGGCTAATCAACAGTGTTAGCTACGGCTAATCAACAGTGTTAGCTACGGCTAATCATCAGTGTTAGCTACGGCTAATCATCAGTGTTAGCTACGGCTAATCATCAGTGTTAGGTACGGCTAATGAACAGTGTTAGCTACGGCTATTGAACAGTGTTAGCTACGGCTATTGAACAGTGTTAGCTGCGGCTAATGAACAGTGTTAGGTACGACTAATGAACAGTGTTAGCTACGACTAATCATTAGCATTAGGTACGGCTAATCATCAGCGTTAGCTGCGGCTAATCATCAGCGTTAGCTGCGGCTAATCATCAGCGTTAGCTGCGGCTAATGAACAGCGTTAGCTATGGCTAATGAACAGCGTTAGCTACGGCTAATCATCAGCGTTAGCTACGGCTTATCATCAGCGTTAGCTGCGGCTAATGAACAGTGTGAGCTGCGGCTAATGAACAGTGTTAGCTGCGGCTAATCATCAGTGTTAGCTACGGCTGATCTACAGGTTCATAACACCTCATTACCAAGGGTTGCTAAGCTAAATGGAAACGGGGAAACTAAGAGGATGTACGGGGAGCATAATAATGAGCTTTTTCTCAGTCACAAAAATATGAAATAACAATTAAGTTACAAAAGAATTGGAAAATACCTGATGGAAAAGAAAGTGAAAAAAGGAATTAACTTTTTTTTAAGCTTGATAGGCAAAAGTATTTATAATTAGGATTGAGAAATGTGTTTTTAAATCTCCATTTAGCAATGATTCAAAAATACATTTCCAAGTTTTTGTATTCAGTAACGATTAATGAATTTTACGATTTCTCTATAAAAAATATTCTTCTAATGTTCAATTTTAACACTTTTTTAAAGTGGATTTCTAAGTGCACCCTTTAATTATGAATCTGCAGTTTTTCTATTTCCATGACTCTTCTGGTTCTCCGTACCAGATCTACCTTTTGATGTGATAATGTTGACAGCAGTTTGCTCCTATGAATGTGTACTTCTTTGCTGAACAGGAATAATTCACGCCAGAGGACTGGTGCGTGAATGCTTGGCTGAGACGGAGAGAAACGCAAGGTCCTAGCCAAAAACCAGAACTCCTCCTCGCAAGAAGAACTACATTTCTCTGGGGCTTTGGGGGGGAAACATGCATGGCATTTACATCTTCATGAGGAGGTAAATGAACCAAGGATGGAAGGTGAACAAGTAACAGTAATGCAGTTCATAACTCATACGAGTTCTGGAGGATTACTTCAATCAAGTGTGGGTGTTTTGGGAATCAAGATTTTTTTTTTTTTTTTTATGCTCCACTGTTGGGATCTTAGTTTTACCTTTTTACATAAATACATTGGTATACGTTCATTTTTGCATGCGAACGGACCCATGGGTTATTGTAGACACTGCATGGCCTGTACAGAAGTAGGTAGATTCTTTTTTTTTTTTTTTTCTTCCTTTGTTTTATTTTTTTTATAGTATTTGGTCGGGGTTTCAGGCCCTTACAATAAAAGACTGAGTGGTGGTGGACATATGTCAAACGCATCGGTTCATCTGTGATGAAATTGGTTTTGGTATTAAAAAAAAAAGGAAAGTGCTATTACTTCTTTGTATGTATTTATTACTCTGTGTAATAAATTGTATTTTCAATACAGTGTACATTGTGGTTCAATGTGTTTGGATTTTGAAATAGTATCTCATTTAAGTATTCATTCCCCATATATATGTATAAATAACCTTGTAAAATCAACTTTTTTAGCTGTTTAAACTAAAATTCGCTAAAAGGTGATACCTCTACCACCTTTGAACATCAGGGTACCGTTTCACAAAGCACTTTTGGAGGCAATCCAGAGTAGGTTCCTGCTTACATTTCTGTATACCCTGGCATGGAAGACGTGACCCTGAGTACAATTATGACAACAAGAGTATAATCTACTTTTTAGCTGAGATCTAAACAAGGAAATGTTTGAAATCAAGCATCCTTTTCTGGAAGAACTTGTTGAGGTTTGAGAGAAATTGATCTAAAAATATCAGTGCGATTAGAGCCTGATTAAATGTTTGGACTTTTCTAAAATAATATTAGCTCTAATAAGGATGATTAAATTTTAATATTTTCATAAGTTATTAAAAATATGTGTGTTGGGGGATTTTTTAGCTGCTTTTAAGTACAGGGTATAAACTATAAGTAGCGCCATAATGGCCTTCTACACATTTAATAACTTGCAGATCACATTCATTTCTAGCTGTAATGTTGCTCCTAGATATGTACTCAATCCATACACACAGAATAAAGCTTTTAAACCTTTCTTCAAATTTAGGGCTTTTTATTTCATACTTAGTGACAAATAGTAAATGTAAAAGTTAAATCTATATATAATTATGTCTATGTATTTGTTAAATCTATAGAAAATTGAATACATGTCTAAATCCTAGATCATGGTGTAATAGGAGATTTAAAAGAAGTTTATAAATACTGTTTCCGTATCACATTAAAAGGTTGCATTATTTTTCCATTGTAATTTGTTCTTCACCTCACATTTTCAAATCCTTTTTAATTTTTTCCCCCTTTTATTTCTTTTCTTTTTTCTAATTAAGCTTTTGTGTGACCCTTGTTAATAAGCTGTTACCAAACAGTTACAAATTTGTCAGTAAATGTTTATAAGCTGTTATTACACCATTAATAGGTTGTAACAGAACTGTTGATAGGCTGTGACTAAATTGTTAAATAATAAATGAAGAAAAAAGGATTGCAAAAGAAATTTGAAAGTTCAAGCTTCAAAAGAAAATATAAAATAGAGTGCAATTCTATGTGAAAATTTTGATTTTCAAATTAGATTTTAAATTCTATCATTTGAATATTTAATGGAAAAGAATGTTTTCTTTTGGAATGACTCTCCTGTATGGAGTCAGAACTGCGAGAAAAAGTCAGAATTCTAACTTTAAGATTAAAGTCAGAAGTTTGACTTTAATCTTAGAATTCTGACTTTAATCTCAGAATTCTGTCTTTTTTCACAATTCAGAATTCTGGGATTAAGGTCAGAATTCTGAGATTAAAGTCAGAAGTCTAAGAAAAAGTCAGAATTCTGGGATTAAAGTCAGAATGCTGATATTAAAGTCAGAATTCTAAAAAAAAAGTCAGAATTCTGGGATTAAAGTCAGAATTCTGAGAAAAAAGTTAGAATTCTGGGATTAAAGTCAGAATGTTGAGATTAAAGTCAGAATGCTGAGATTAAAGTCAGAAGTCTAAGAAAAAGTCAGAATTCTGGGATTAAAGTCAGAATGTTGAGATTAAAGTCAGAATGCTGAGATTAAAGTCAGAAGTCTAAGAAAAAGTCAGAATTCTGGGATTAAAGTCAGAATGTTGAGATTAAAGTCAGAATGCTGAGATTAAAGTCAGAAGTCTAAGAAAAAGTCAGAATTCTGGGATTAAAGTCAGAATTCTGAGAAAAAAGT